CCAAAATTGGCTTTACCATAACTCCGGAGGGGATATCGTAGGTGGCTTTTGGTTAAGAAAGATTCCTTACGAACAAGCCGACGAAAGCACTCGCTGGTTGATAGCTCTTCATTCAAGACTTGTTGAGGAGTTCCCAACATCACAGTGTTTAGCTTTAGCCTACCAGATCCTCATCCCTTACAAAGAGTGGGCTCACATCCACGGTTTGGACAGGCGCAGAGGTACTTCACACGCCGAACAAGTGATAAACTCTGGTGATCTACCCCCAAAAAGGATCATTAACCAACGTATCTTAGGGGCAGAGCACCCGCGCCCAGAAGAGTGGGATAGGTATTATAGATACATAGGCCCACAGCAGCAACCCCGTCCGAAAGCGGTAAGGCCTGCTGCCGCAACATCCGTTGCTGGCGCGGCAAGTGGAGGCACAGATCCGACTCCGGTCCAGCAAGGACCCAAAGAGCCTGGGCACCCACCGCCGAACTGGCAACCTTCCTTGAGAAGGCCACCTGAGCCAGCAGTGCCACCGCGTCCAAGGGTTACTGTCTCTGTCCATCCAGTCCCACAAGCACCAAAGTCAGATTCTCAAGGGGTCGCTGCCTTTGGGCGCGACGTAGCACCAGTCCCAGTTGCTAGCCCTGCTAAGCCACCAGCTAAAGCTAGGCCTAAAGCTCCTGATTCTAGTGCCACAACCCTTGCAGATAGAATTCAAAGTTTGCCACCTCCACCTAATAACATTCCCCCTAGTCCGCCCGCTCATAAACAACCACCCTTACCACCACCACCATCTCATCCGCCGCCAACTGCACAGGAGCTCGCTGCCCGCAGTTCCCAACCAGCAGAGGCGCGAGAAGAGACTGCTCCAGGGGATCCCAACGATCCACCGCCTGAAGAGGAGCAGTGGGTGGAGGAAGAGGAGGAAGAGGAAGTTTTTGAGGAGGACCAGGTAGTTGAAGTTGAGGTTGAGGCTGAAGCAGAACCTGAATTCCCTGACTTTACCACAACAGAACACGGCCGTGAGATTTCCACGCGCCGTCGTAGGCCTAAAAGAACTAGGTCCAATCCGCCATTGCCTGTCAATCTAGTCCCAAGGGAAACCCGTGAACGAATCGAACTTAGTCAAGAGCTTTATAGAGCCCGTGCCAAAACCGGTGTTTCTAGAAGACCTCTTGCTTTAAGACCCCAAGTGCACGGTTACCCCGAAATTAGAATTGACTCCGCTGGCACCTGGGCTAGGGTCGCTGATCCTCCGATCGCGTACGCGCCGCAGACTTTGCCGTTTATTGTTCCTCACGCCGAGGCACCAGAGCTTGGGGTCAACCCACACGAGCTTCCCGACTCGTTGTGGCGTGATCCTGCACTTAGATCCCATCGGACTGTTCTTGGTTCAAGTAATTTAGACCCCAATAGTGTCTATAATATTTCCACCAATAACCCCGATACCGAATCTGAGGGCTCTGAAACAGCTGAGACTCGAACCGCCAGGTTTGTTTCATCAGGTCAGGCATTTGTCGGCCAGCAAGAACCATTCGACGCTGGCTTTGCTGAGCGCACCCCTGCCCGTCCAATTGAGTCTCCACCAAAGAGACAACGCCCTAACATAAGAACCTCTCAAATCCAACGTGATAAGCCGGCACAGCCCAGAAAAGATCCAGTTTCTGCTGCGCTAACACCACCTGCAGCCCCTACAGTACCATCTTTGACTGTTCCCCCATTAAGCAGTTCTAGTAGTTCAGCTTATCCTCCCTGGAGGCAGTCTTTGCAAAGTGCTGGGACTGGGGTCGCTGACACAGCCCGTGT